TTTTTTCTTTTTTAATTTTTAGATTTTATTTTTTAAAAAGAAAAACTTATATTGTTTAATTTCATTTCATTTTTAGAAAGTTAGTTTATGTATTTTTTTCTTTCTCAATTTAATTTTCTTCTAATTATTAGATGTTATTCTTCTAAAAAGAAGCATATTTTTTAATTGAATTTATTTAATTTTTTCTTTCTTAAATTAATTTTTTATCGTTTTTAGTTTGACTTTCTGTAAATTTTTAGATGTTATTGTTTATTAAAGGAAAGGTTTTTTTTCTAATTTCATTTGACTTTTAGACATTTTTTATTTATTTTTTATTTCATTGGTTTTTCTTTCGTTAATTTCACTTTACTTTGATTTTTAGATTTTATAGTTTGTATATATAGATTTTATAGGTTTTAAAAAATAATTATTTAATTAATTTAATTTAATTTTTACTTTTCTAAATTTAGTTTTCTTTCAATTTTTGGATTTTTTTTTTTTAAATAAAAATATAGATATTGTTAAATATTAAATTTTTAATTGCTTTTTTCANTTTACTTTTCTAAATTTAATTTTCTTTCAATTTTTGGATTTTTTTTTTTTTAAATAAAAATATAGATATTGTTAAATATTAAATTTTTAATTGCTTTTTTCCACTTTTTTGATAAAATTTTTTTCTTCTAATTTAATTTTTATATTTTATTGTTTTAAGAAAAAAAATATTTTAGTTTCGTTTAATTTTTAACAATATTTTGTACTTGTTTTTGATTCATTTTAATTTTTGCTTTTTTTCAATTTAATTTAATTTTATTTATTACCTGTAATTGAATTTAAAAAAAAACTTATCGCTAAAAGGCGAACAGCATAACGCAAATACCTCCTCGTTAGCAGATCTTTCAATTAGTCTTTCGAAAGGCAGTAAAGAGCTTTCAAGTTAGTTGCCACAATTGACAATTGTCTTACGAAGGACTTTTGTGTTTCGAAAACTGTGGTGAGTTGAATGACAGTCGCCAGAATTGCTCTGTAAGTGTTGATAAAATTATTTTTATTACTATCTCAGCACGGCTAACAGACTCTGAGGGTATGCAAAGAAATTCTTTAGAATTTCCTGCATACTTTTATGCTCTTCCTTTTAAATTTTTATTAACTACTCCAAATAAAAAAGCAATTCCTGATATAAATACTTATTTAGTCCGCGAAACTAATCTTAACTGCATGCTTTTAGGAGATACTTTTTTGTTTAAAGAAAAATATGCGAGGAGTTTAATAATGTGGTGATAAATAAAGATTTTTCATTAGTTCAAGCCAGTATATAATTTCAATTATTTGAAAAAGCAGGTAAAGCGCCTAAAATTAGGCAACACGCATTGTTTTGGAAGCAGAAAATAAAAGAAGCTTTACAAAGTCTGTGTAATTTTTTGTTGCTTAAATTTATTTTCACTTCAATCTTGCAACTTATAGCTTTCTCGTTTTAACTTCTTAAAAATAATTTTAAGGCTTGCCTTATCCGATGTCATTGTCATTGTACATTGAACGGCCTTACTAGGTGTATTTATTTAGGCCCACTTTAAATCAAAAAACATGAAATTGGTGGCATCATATAAAATTTGCATTCCAAATTAACATTTACTTCGTGGGCAGCTGTAACAATATGAAAGCAATAACAACAACAAAAATTATGCTTCAAACCGTTAATAACCTTTTTCGCTGCTAAACAGCACCTACTTCTCTCTCACTATCTCTTTCACTCCCTACTGGACGACCTTATTTTCAAAGCAGCTGCTTTTGTTGTGGTTACCCAAATAACGCATTTCTAATTATTCTCGCTTTTATCCTAGCTGTTGTAGCGTATGCTTTTCACGTTCCTGCGTGCCGCGGGATACTCGCCAATCCTTTTCGGCGTTTCAGCAGCGCACACTCCCATGCACCTAAGTATGTATGTATGGATGTATGTTTGCATGTTTATGGGTGGTGTTATGTGTACTTTTAGGCACGAATGCAAATGCGTTTGGGAAATGAGAAATTAAAGTGCGCGTGTGGCATCAAATTCAAGTGCGCTACGCTACACATCGCCGAAATGGAATGAAAGCCATGCGAGCGCCAGTTGATTGGTGCAAATTATGCAAATAAGTGTGTCGCAGCAAATACATATGTATAAAGTGGGTTGCGCGCGCGTGNGCGCCAGTTGATTGGTGCAAATTATGCAAATAAGTGTGTCGCAGCAAATATGTATAAAGTGGGTTGCGCGCGCGTGTATTCGAAGTCGTCGTAACAAAAACAAAAATTTTTGGAAAACAAATGGTTGAAAGTGTCACGTAGCAGGCATGCGGAAATTGGGACGTTTGTAATTATGCACGTAACTGATACTGGGAAATTGTCATAGCGAGCAAATTTTTTTTTCGGACGATATCAAAATAAATTGGAGTGGACTTTCTGTTTTAAAAGGTGTCAGCGTTGAACTATGCCCCAAAAAACTGAAGTTTTTTTGTGGTCCAATCGGACACTCAGTTGAACTTGCACACATACTACATATGTACCAAATTTAAGAAAGGTGGAACTTGTGGCGGATTTTCAAACGCTGCATACTTTCAGGATCGTAAAGTTAACGGTCCTTTTAAAAAAGGTTTAATTTAAACTGCTATTAAAACGAAAGATTTCACTTTAAGGCATTGTATATAAGTAAAATTGTATCAGCATACTTTTGGGAGCAATATAGAAAAGTAAAATTTAGAGTAGGAAAATTGAACGGTGTTTATAGATAAATAATTTCAATGCTATCAAGTACAAATTTCAAAGCTCACAGCAATGAATGTATTTGCATACTTGCGGGCGCATTAACCAAATTTTCCGCTGTCTCTTCAATTTCGGTTAATATTATGTCATTTCCAAAAGCACTGAATATATTTTGTTGCCATATTTTCGAAATTTGCATCTTTGCCATTTTTCGACACTTCAACAGTTTTTTTTTTCTCAAAAACTGGACGTGATAGAAAATGTTTGTAAATACACTTCAAATCAGCATCAAAAAATCTATAAGATGAGGTCGGCCCCGCTTTTGAAATAACATACGACAAAATTTTATTGAACCGTGTTATTTATGTAGTTGACAAGCAGGCATTTTTAATAGCTACAGAGCAATGATTTTCCTTGGTTGGTTAACATGTTATGCTACCAACATAATTTCATAATTTCTGTATAAAATTCCACACTTCACCATTTAATACGCTAATCATCGATACTTCTACATCATTGCATACTTTTAGGTTTTTATTCAATAAAATTATTAGATTTTTTGCGAATTATAAATCTATAACTTGCGTTTTTACCTAATAAAAGTGTGCAACTTTCGTTTTAGTGTTCTGATATTTTCCATTGCATACTTTTAGGCAAATTTTTCCCTTTTATTTATTAGGCTATACTTAACTCTTTTGAAAAAATCAGGAATGTTCCTGTTTTAGAATTTAAATGTATATTTAATAGCATATTTACAGGCGTTGAATTTTTTCTATAAAATTTTGTTTCAGATTACTTGCGTAAATTTTCTAAAAAAATTTTTACTCCATTGCGGTATGCAATTATAGAATTGAATTTTTATTAATGCTGACCCTTTGGAGCCTAAGCGATAGCCCAATTCAGGTCACAAGAAAATTTTGCGAATTTTAAGACAATTTATTACTTATTAAATAAAAAAAATCGTTTTACTTAAAAAAATAGTTTTAAATATACAAATTTTTCAAAAATATTAATGTATGTATATTAGAATATGTTTATTTGGAACCATTTTTTTTCTTGTTTTGCAAAAGATTTTTTTTCCAAATTTTGTATTAAAGTTTTTTTCAGAAACTTTAATTTTTTCAAACATTTTAAGAAAATTCATTACTTATAAAATAATAAAATCGTTTTACTTAAAAAAATACTTTTAGATATAAAAATTTTTCAAAAATATTAATGTACGTATTTTAAAATATGGCTATTTCGAACCATTTTTTTCTTGTTTTGCAAGAGAATTTTTTATTTATATTTTTTTCCAAAAAATTAAATTTTTTCAAACGAAAATACGCTTAGCCTAAAATAAATAGATCATATTCCACAAATCAAGTCATATTCTTTACTTTTAGGCTCTTACATATGTAGTGCAAGAAAATATAGTGCGCTTGCATACTTTCAGGCTCTACAAATTGATTTAAACAATATTACTTCGAATTTTGCATTTAAGGAGTTTCAATACAACTAACTCTATGAATGATATTATTTTACTTTTTCTCTTGGATAAAAAATTCTTCGTATGAGTGTTTATATTTTTTTTGTTCAAAACTATTTAGTTTGCCAAAATATTTATTTCTCACATTTTACTTTCAAAAATATTTTTTCCCTTTTAGGGCCGTTTCACACTGTTGGCATATTGCAATGCTATTGGTATGCTGAAAAAATTTCATATTCAAACCCAAAATTAAAATACTTTTAAAAACTTTACTTTTTTCAGAAACATGTTTGTGAAATATATTCATATTTTTTGAAAAATGTTTATATCAAAATATTTTCAGCTCTAATTAGATCATATTCTGCAAATCAAAGCGAATTGTTTACCATTATGCTCTTAGTACTGAAAAGTTATTACATGATCTGTGTACAAAAACTGAAATTTAAATGCCAAATGTGAAATAGCTCTCCACTGTGAAAACGGCACTCGTTAAGTTTAGTTTTTTTCCTTGACTGCTGTCTTTTTTAAAGCTAATTTACTTATTTCTTTTTTTTTTAATTTTGACTGCATTCTTCTCAATTTTTTCTTCATTTACTCATTCGGTGGCCTAATTTTTTTTTATTTTATTTTTTAGTTTAATATTCCATATTTCGTCGACTTACCCTCATTTTTGGCTTGCTTCAAAATTTAAATTGTATTATTTTTTCTGCCCAATACTTTCTTTTTACTTTAAAACCATTCTGGTATTTATTATGCACTTTTTAAACTTTTCTGTGGTGATATAGTACCTTTGTGTTTTTTGCATTTCTAATTTACTTACCAAAAATATCGCCACCCATGCCATTCCAATATTATCGAACGATATTGTCCCTTGAAATGGATTATGAGCGCTCTCCCTACAATCCGTATAATATTGATTCCAATTGACGCAGGAGGCATTTGTCGGTAGATTATCGCTATATACGGATGCCGGTTCTGAAAATAGCAGACAGGTTTAATTTTACTAATGCATAGAATTTTTAAAACACATATTATAACAAAAACATATATTCCATAAATCATCAAAAAATTCAGCTCCAAGTAGACTTTTGTTCATTCAAACTTTCTAAACCGCAGTGTGTCTGTTTCTGAATAGATCGAGGTACAGCGCCAGGATTGGGGGAGTTATGTCCTGAAATTCTCTTTAAATTTAAATCTAGACTTCAATACTGTGGTTAAGAGCCGTTAAAATGGAGCATCGTATAATCGTGCTATAGGCGACCAACCAGTGCCTAAGTTTATTACCGATGTAGCCATGAATAAAGAACTACTAGGACACATTATCTCTTAAAGGAGGTCAAAGAGAAGGCCAAAGCAAATCCAATATTCTACAGTGACTTTTTTACCTTTACAAAATTGCTCAAAGATGAACTGAAACTAGTAGGCTTGCTGAATCAATTCAGTATTCAAAGTTACTTTCTGGTCCCCTTTTGAAACACTTATGCAATAATTTAGTGACCAACACATTAAAATATATACTTTTGAATTTCTTTTAATATATCTGATGTACTATTTAAAATTTAAACACATTTTAATTGCCTAATTCGCTACTTTTTTCGGATGCGATTATTTATACATAGCTGATCGCTCAACTGTGAAATTGAGGCGTAAAGTTATTTTTTGACAGAAGAACAAAATAAACAAAAGGCAACAATATACGGCATAGCTTTCGCGCTGTATGCTAATTGATTTGCCGCTTGGATGCATTTGCGAATAAAATTATGCCTAACTCAAGGGTACGGAAATATTTCAAACAGAATTTGGAAGAAGGAAAATTGTTTTTAATTGCCTTTATTGTTTCTTCAAAGTAAAGAAAGTAAATTTAAGACATTTCCTAAAAAGCAAAAAATAAAAAATAAAGTTAAAAAGTAAGAAAAAAAAATAAAAGGGGAAAACATAAGAAAAGTTCTTCTGCATTCTTATTACATGATTAGAATTTAAATGTCACCTGAAGGTTAGCAACAAAAAAAAAATTAAAAAATTCAAAATTTAATATTTGTTTGCATTTAATTTCGCGGTTATATGTAATCATTTCCACAAAAGTAAGACAAAAATAAACCTAAATTTTTTAGATTCATCCTTTTTTCATTTTTTAAATTTTATATACCTACATACATCATGAATTTAAAATAATTGTTCCTAAAATTCCGACCATGNTTTTAGATTCATCCTTTTTTCATTTTTTAAATTTTATATACCTACATACAAATTTAAAATAATTGTTCCTAAAATTCCGACCCAAATCTATATATATAGTTTTTTCGCAAATTTTTAAGAATATAGGAAGAAATATAATATATGTACATAAATGTTAAAATAAATAAAAATGTGTCCCATTTCGAAAACAGCTCGATTACTTCTGAGTGGAAGATCGACCCATTTCGGCAGCCAGTTCGAAAACGTCCTATATCAGAAGAATTTTGAACAACGCATTAATTTAGAATTTGATTAAAGAGCGCCCTATTCAGAATTTTATTGAAAAATACCCTATCTCAGAATTCGGTTCAAAAACGCCCTATCTTAAATGAAAATGTATGGAAAATGTGCTGAGATAGGGCGCTTATGAATCGGCAGCTGAGATAGGGCGTTTTTCAATAAACTTCTTTAATAAAATTCTAAAATAAGGCGTTCCTTGAAAATTTTTGTGAGATAGGGCGTTTTTGAACTTGCTGCCGAGAACTAAAAGCAGGTAAAATATTAAAGAAAGTTTAAATTACTTAATTAGAAAAAATGTATTGCTTTAAAATAAACTATATATATTTTTTTTTTTAATTTTGTAAATAATAAAAATCTAATATCGATAAACTTGTGAAATGGGTTTAGTCATAGCGTTTCCAAAGAAAAGGTGAAATAACAAGTTTCGAGCTTTTTTCCATCAAATGAAAGCCACCTTATCAAATAATAAAAAGAATTCATAGAAGTACTTTAAATTTTAAAAGCTTTCAAAATATTTCCATCGCTTTAAAAATTGTTTCCATTATTACAACAATTTTTCTTGTGTCTCTTGAACATTTTTTTTATATTTGAAAACATAAAAATAAATAAATAAACAAGAGCTGAATTTTTTCCATTTTTTTAACAAAAGTAATCGAGTAATTATAAAACTAGTTAAGAGTAAAAATTTTAGTTTTTGTTGATATTCAATTAGTAGATTTTAAACATTTTTTAAAAATGAAAAAAGCATTAAAGTGTTCAAATTTTTTCCAACTTGTGAACATGTTTTCATCAAAACAAAATATTTTTTAAATTATTTTTATTTGAAAATTTTGATTATTTTTATATTTTTTTAAGTTTTTAAAATTCTATTCGTCATTTAATTTTATTTGCAAATTTTTCAGTACATCCATATGTATTAAAATTTTTGTGATATTTCACATGTTTTTGGGCAAATTGCGAAACATTAATTGCATTAATTGGTTTTTTTTGTTTTTTATTAAAAAAAAAATATTTTCATCGTAAAAAAAAAAAAATTTTTCAAATAAGAAAGTTGTGAAATTGGTAATTCTTTAAAGTTTTCCAAACAAGACAGGCTGAAAAATGAATTCATGTCTTTTTAAAATATACAAAAAATTTCATGCATTTAATTTAGTTCAGTTTCCAAATTTTTGAAAATTCTGAGTATTTTCAAAGTGGACTGAGTATCAAAGTGGACTTATTTTAAACTCGCAACTTTTTCATAGTTGGTTCTAGTATAATTTTTTTTTTCATTTTGTTAAAAAAAATTTAATATAGAAAAAAGAGTTACATATACTTCTTTGCAAATCCTGAAATTTTTTTCATAAACGAGGCACTTTTCAATTTCACAAATCTTTAAAATGTCTTTAAAATTAAAAAAATACGTATAGAAGATTTAACGAATTTTAATTTTTATTTAATTTTAAACTAAACGAGCCGTTTTGAGGCTCCTCTTCAAAAAATTTGGAAAATTTAAAATTTTAACATGCATTTTTTATAATTAAATTAATATTTCGTTAATTATAAAATTATTAAAGTTTAGTGCCAAAATTCGTTAAAAAATTAAACTAACATTTTTTTATCTTGCTTTTCTAGTGAGATACATCATTAAGTTCATTTTAATAAATTCTTAGCAAACATTTGAAACTAAATTTTTAAGTTAAATTTAAACAAAATTTAATTTAATTGTTTACGGTTGTTTATTCCTTGTGTAAATTTGAATTTTTCGGAATTTTCTCATTGTTGGAATTGCAAAAATTTTTTAATTAAAGCAGAACACACCTGCCTGCCTTGCGCCGCGGCTCACGCGTATAATTTCGAAATCATGATTAAAATTTGCGCTCGCATAATATGCGCAGCAACAACAAAAAGTTAAAAATTAATCGATAAAATTTGCCGCACACACATACCTTTTTGTACGTACGTATGTGTTTATGTAACTTGATATGCATGCATTTAGGTATGCATATTTGTAGGGCCGATCGACAGCATCAACCGTCCAACCTCATTAACATAAGCAACAATTACAACTACAACAAAAAATATGCTACCAACCCAAATTGGCAGCATGGAAAATCATTCAAGTAGCAATTAAAGTTTGCTGCATTGTCCGCTTTTGCGCTCCCTCACTTGCCTGATGGGCTCCTGCATATCACCGCACCTGCATTTTACTCCCGGGAAAAACTAAAATACCGTTGATTTTTAATGAGCTACAACAAAGACGTGCTTTGCTATAGCTACGGTCAGTCAGTTAGTTGCCTAGCCAAGTGCCATTCGGTGTTGCTCTTTGCCCCACTAACCCTCTCCCACTCTTTACACAGCGCGACCTTCTTCCGTTGCGAGTGAAAATTGAATTACCTCATTCATTCAGGCCGACTGCTAACAACTAAATGCTTCAGAATTTAATTAATTTCTTTTTTTTTATGCTAACAACTTAGCAGCAATTATAACAATAAATATGTTGAATTTTGTGTTGTTGATATTGTTGTTGTTTGCTTACTTACCCGTACAAATCATATCGCCAACGCGGTAAGGCGGCAAATCCGCGCACAAATGCATGCCAGAGTCACCAGGCTTCGAGCAAATGTAGTCCTGCTCCTTGGAGAATTCGTAGTAGTTGGAGACACTAGAGTTTTTTGTTGTTGTTGTTGATGGTTGTTTTTTGGTTTGGTTTATGAATGGTTCCATTTTTGACGGAATTGTAGAGTGGTTGTAGAGTATTTGAAGAATTTAAAAAATTTTAAAATTGTTTTTTTATGGTTTGTTTCGAATTGGTTTTTGTTGGTGTTGGTTAGTAGGAAAAATTTTGTATTTGTTTTAGTATCAATGTAATATTTGCAAAAAAAAAATGAATTTGCAGTTTGCATTAATTATTATATTTTTTTTTAATATATGCAGTGTGTGGTATTGAGAGCAGAATGAGAGAAGAGAAAAATACATACAAAAATAGAGACATTTAGTAAATCACAATATATATAAACAAGTTTATATTCAAGACATTTCATAACATTTATTCAGACACTTAGAGATTGAAATGAATGAGTGAAAATCGAGCAGTTGAGCTTTGAGCGAGCGAAATTAAGATTTGATAGGTGAAATGATTAAGCATTAAGTTAATTGAAGAGAAGATGGTAGAAACAATGATAAAGAAGTGGCCGGGTTTATAAAAAATGTAGGAAACTTTTTTCCAAACACTAGACACTTTTTCATAACTTTTTTAATAAAGTTTTTTGGCAAATTTTATATCTTTTTTACTAAACTAAAACAGTTTTTCTAGTTGCGAAATTTTGTTTGCAATTACAGCTTTTACAAATTTGGAAATTTTTTTTCTTGGCCTAATAACATTTTGTTTTTAAGAGTTTTATCTTTTCTGTTAATGAAATCGGAAAACGAAAATAATTTATATCCATAAAAATTTGCTTTTCATTGAACTCATTTTTGAAATCTTGAAAACAATTCAAAGTTTTAATGCGATTTTACTTAAATTTTTTCCGAACTTAGGTAATTTCTGATACACTTTTATTTCTTCAAGAAACTAGAAATTTTTTTCAGACTTAAAAATTGAGAGTTTTGGGAAATCAATTTTATGTCAAAAAATGTCACATCATTTCTACGAAATTTTTGTCCGAATTAAGAAAAATTATTAGTTTAATTACAATTTCATATTTCTAAAAATCCAATCCTATATTAAAAGTCCCTAATCGTGCTTAGTGTGAGAAATAAATTTTGACTATTTGACGATACTTTCCAAATTGAGTGAGTTAAATGAGTGAAAGCATAATAGTTCCTCATTTATTTAAAACGAAATTAAAGAAACTATTCAAAGATGAATGAGTTACTGCAGAAAAGTGGCTGAGAAAAGGAAAATTAGAGAAAAAAGTAGATTTTAATACTTTACGGTATTGAGTGAGTGTTTTAGTGAGATTAGTTGGAGTATATCTCATGAATGGAACATGTTAAAATCAGTGTGAGTAGTAAGAGTTTGTGGAGCTACAAAATTTCACACCGAGAACGTTACCAAAGAAGTTGTAAAAATTAAAGCAACCAAATGAGTATTTGATAGCGTAAAGAGAAAATATGCCTAGCAAATAATTAATAGAACATTTTTAATGCAATGAGAAATTAGACTAAATAAGATAAAATAGTCATTGAGGATAAATTAGTCAATATAAAAAATCTCAGTCCAAAAGGATAAGAAAAAAACAACTCAAAGTCATTTGCAAGTGTGTATGTGTAAATAGTGACTTTGAGTAAGTGTAGATTGAGTGCATGAAATTCTTATCTCTCATAAGAGCGAGAAAAATGTTACGAATTAAAAATGAGTGTTCGTGAGTTAAAATAGTAAGTTTGGATATGTTGAAATTGAGTGGAAAAATGTTAACTTCAAAAAGAGAAAAAATTTATAAGTTACAAGTGAGTTAAAAAAATTGTGAAAAAATCCCTGAAGCTTTGAGAGAGAAAAGAAGTTAATAAAACTGATATTCGTACATTTTTTTATAAAGTTTAGATTAATACTGAAAACGAATGAGCTAGAATAAGCAATGAAATTGGGTAAACGGAATGAGATTTTTTTTATAACAGTTAGAGTAGTTAAGATGGTAGGTAGGATTGCGGGTGAGATTGCGAGAGATTGAGAAAAAGTTATCACAAAAAAAGTGAAAATAAATGTGTTTAGCTCTAAAAAATTAACTCAAATTTAAATTTTTCTAAATTAGAAAATATTTTTACTAATCTCTCACTCTAAGCCTAGCAAGTTGAATGAGTTTTTATCTCTATCGAAGCGGGAATTTTCTCAAATGAATCTGAGTGTATTTTTACGAGTTTCTAGTAGGGTAAAAATTGAGTGAAACCATTGAGTGTGTGTTCGTACTTATTCAGAAACGAGTGTAAACGTGAGCATAAAAAGATTTCTCAAATGTAACTGTATTAATTGAGTAAAGTAAAACGACTCGTATTTTGAGTGATTGTGGGTGCGTTTGTGGCCTGCAATGTAAACAATGCCATAAAAATGAGTGTGTCGAGGGTTAGTGCTGCGTGTATTATGTCATTGAGTATTTTTCTAGTAAGTGTCAGAGTCACTTTATTTTTTTTTTCTCAATAAAAAAGCGAACGCACTCAATAAAAGCACTCAGTTAAAATTTAGTACTTATTAAGCGAATAAAGGGTTAGTAAGCGTGTGTGAGTGTAGAAAATTATCAACACTGAAAGAGGTGGGTTTTGTTGAGAGAATTTATGAGTGAGAGAATGAGTAAGTGAGTGAACGAGTGAGCGACTGAGCAAATGAGTGAGTGAGTGGGCATCCGAAAGTGATATTTTTTTTTTGATAGAACTGTAAATAAGTAGAAATAAAAAAATGGGACAAATGTGATATTTTTTCCAATAATTTTTTTTTTATAAAAAATTAAAAAAAAAAAAATTTAATAACTTTTTTAAATATTATTATTTTTTAATAACTAAACTAATAAAAAGAAAAGCTAATATTTGAATAACACAGAGTCAAAATAATTAACAGAAAATGTGTAAAACTATGAAAACGGTAACTTTTTGCCATGAGTGTTATAGCGGATTATGTATGAGCATTTTGAAGAGTGTAAGAAAGTGAAAATCGAGTCTTTTTTATGAGTGTCTGAGTAAGTGTTTGAGTTATTGAGCATTGGCAACAATTTTTAGATTATAAGGAGTATTTAAGAGTAATTTTTTACAATCTACTGTATCAGTGTAAAGGCGAAAGACTAAAAAAGGAGTGAAAGGAAGGCGATTTTAAAAGAGTGAAGAGTTTCTAAAATATAGTAAGTAATTAGTATGAACAAAAGTAATTAGTGGAAAATGCCTATAGATTATGTAATTAATCAACTCAAAATACAATGTCGCAGAGCATATGAAACAAAAATATTGGGAGAGTAATGCACTGACCCGAAGCGAAATTAGGCAGCAAATAAATAAGAAGGAAAGCATAGCTTTTGTGAGGAAGTCACTTCAAACAAAAAAGAAAAAGGTTAAAAAGTTCTGAAAAATTTGCCGTTAGCTGTAATTTCCAAAAACTCAAATTCGTAAAAATAACGGAAGTGAGTTTTAATATTTTTCCATATGTACAGAGCGAAAAGACATTGAGCAATTATACATTGAAAAGAGAGAGGCATCAAAATTTTCTGAAATTTTTTACACCAAAAAGCTAGTGAACAGAGTAGTAAGATAGCTGATGCCAAAGATTGAGCATGAAGCAGGCAGAGGGAAGTGAATGCAAGCATAGACAAATAAATGGCTGCTGAGAAGGTCTCATAGTTTTGAGAGAGTGAGAGAGAGGGAGAGAGAGAGAGAGCTACTTTTTATTGAACTTGTGGAAAGTCGACTCAAGCCACTTATATTCAATAAAAGTAAGATTAAAAACAAAGGGAAATGGGATTGGTTTTGCGTAAGAAATTTTTTCCATTTTTTAACTAAAATTTGTTTAGCAAAAAAATTAAAAGTTTGCATAAATCTAATTTGTGAAGTTATTAGAAAAAAAACGCGTGGCTGTAAAGTAGATAGAAGGAGAGAGAGAGAGAGCGAAAGGGAGTTCAAGTGTGTAGTAAGATTATCACAGAGGAAGATTATCACAGAGGAGAGCATAATTTACTATTTCTTTGAATATTTGGCACACAAATTTCTCTCAGCTTATGTACAAGAAGATGGGGGAAAATACCTCACTCAATTAAAGCGCTCATTCTTTTCTGATTTCCGCCATTTGAAATTAAAAAAAAAAAACAACTATGGTAACTTTATGACAGGTTTCCTTTGATGCTCCTAGGCTTCCTTCCCATGACAGTCTTTAAATATTGCATAAAAATGAACTATTTATGCCGATGATGAATCAAAATTATATGATTTTGAGCGTTGCTTATGAGCTAAGTAATTCGATTCATGGTGGTCTTAATATGTATATGAAATCACTTTTTTACTAAGACTATACTCAAACGTAGAGAATAGCAAACCAGGCTGTTAAAAAACCTCTACCAAACTGTATTATTGTTGCGGTTGTATATTTGAGGAGTATATATTATTTATAACTAGATATTCGAACCAATAAATATGTAGCTTTATTTAGTAGTTATTTTATAAAGTATTACCTTTAGAGGGTATTTAATTTATGAAAATATTAAGTGCCAACTGGCTGACTAGGTTTTTTTTATTATTAAATTATTAAAGGGATATTTAGTATTCGCAACCTACTTATTTTTTCTAGTTGNTACCAAACTGTATTATTGTTGCGGTTGTATATTTGAGGAGTATATATTATTTATAACTAGATATTCGAACCAATAAATATGTAGCTTTATTTAGTAGTTATTTTATAAAGTATTACCTTTAGAGGGTATTTAATTTATGAAAATATTAAGTGCCAACTGGCTGACTACGTTTTTTTATTATTAAATTATTAAAGGGATATTTAGTATTCGCAACCTATTTATTTTTTCTAGTTAAAGTTATAACTTGTGCTTAGTTGATAGCTGTGTTTAAATATATATTATTTATGTAGGTCAAAATATTTTTGGGCATAATTTTAATTTTGTGCAACAACACACTACTGTATATTCATATTCAAGGTAGCTTTAAATACCTTCCCAAGAGAAAATGATGATTTTTCCT